TCTTTCATGAATATGTCCGGCAGAGAGATTACTGCAAGATGATTATTCAGGAAACATCCAATTACAATTCACATTAAATTCAAAGTCATAAACTTATTTTGTACCAGCTGAACGGAGCCTAACATTGGATAAGCTTGTTATTACTATTATGATGCAAATGCATATATAGGGGTTCATTTTTGTTGTTTAATGTTGTGTCCGCACCTGCAATGAAATAGTAGACGATAGCATTAGAGCCCTCGTCCGCGTCCACTGCACCAGTCACATTGCCCACAACAGTCCCAGGAGACGAGTGCTCAGGCACCGACAGAGACTGATATGGCAAACTTCCTCTCTGAAATACACGCAACACACAGAATTAAGCAATAAGTGATGGGAAATTTTTCAAGCATCACATTTCATGATGTAGAAGTCCTCAAAAAAATATGATAAAACCTACTTTATCATATTTGATATGCAAATTTCTAAGGCCTCTAAAATACCAACACGATCAAAACTTTGCTGAAAAACCTGTTTACTACATGCCTTCTGTCATTTGAAAATAGTTTAGTACATTTTTAAAAACGTCCACATACATGTGTCTTTCTGCTGCAACATCTTATTTTTACAAAGTAAACGTAAGAATAACTTTTATATTGATGGTAATATTAAAGACGAACATTTACTGAACTGAAGCAACTTGATTATCAGTTCATCATTTAAAAAAAAAAATAATAAATTATGTTAAAATATGATACAATACATCAGGCTTTTGAGGTATGTTTATTTACATCTCTCAGTCATCACTGCATTACACTGCATTATTTGATTTGTTCCACAATAAAAGTTTTGATCATAAAACTAAGCATTTAAATATCTTACTAAGACATTATGGGGATGTAGAGTGCAACTGATATTTATATGCATTTTATGTAAGTTGTCTATTATTATTGATTTACAGTACATGACAAGCTATCAGAATTTCATCTTAGCCAAATAAATATCAGCAACAGCACCAAATTGCATATTTTTGCTCTTTTTTGGCCTCTGAATAAAACGGAGGTGTTTTCGTTTCCTCCTCAAATATGAGCTTCATATTCTCACTATATTATTTTATATTATATTATATGAGGCATAAAAGCTTAATGTATCAAATACGACAAACACAAATGCAAATTTTTTTAATATTTTGTCTAAAGTTTGATTTAAATGTTTCATTAAATAAAATAGGTTTTTATGACTATTATTTCATAGTCCGGTTTTACAGAGTTTATACTAAACTAGCCAACTGGCCTACAGTCTGTACTTGAAAAATAGAATGATGTATCTGATATTTAAAAACAAATGATCAAAACATTACCGGAGGTTTAAGAAAGACAGGTTCGTTGTCGTCGATGTCAGACAGAGCCACCTGCAGCGGCTGCATGGTCTCATATGGGACGGGCTGCCCGAGGTCATACGCCACCACAACCAGCTACATACAAATACACAGATTTCAATTGTTATTGCACCATTTTTTAAGGTTTTCTGCTGTTCTCATTGGTCTTTTATTTTGAATTGTGTCTGGCTAGAAAGAAAGACTCACACTGTACAGAGCTTGTTTCTCTCTGTCCAGTGTAACCGCAGTGGTGATCACTCCGGTCACTGCATCAATATGGAAGTTCTCCCAGTCTCTATTTCCTGCTCCAGTTTGCAGGAAGCTGTACCGGACCTCTCCATTCACCCCCTCATCCTCGTCTGTGGCAAACACTTCATACACCACCAGCCCAGGTGGCTGTTCCTGCAACGACACACACAAAACATGACCGAATGCTCACTCATTCATGATGTCTGACCCTGTACAAAAACAGGTCATCCAAGCTCTCTCAGCCCTGATATGGGGCATCAAATTTGACAGACCTCCATGTGACGGATTTGGGTCAAAGTATTGAATGGTGAGTAGTACTCATCCCTGTTAATTTGTCAATGCGAGAGATTTTAGTCAGAATGACAAGCAGAGAATCTCTTAATTTATATTTTTTGTGCCATTTAGTGCTTTTGACTCTAATCAAAGCCGTTTCAACGGTTTTAAAAACTGCCCTTGCTGCAAAAGGAACTTACAAAGTTTCCACAAAGTCCTCAAAATACTATCCGCTATGACACTATGGTTAACATCTCTCTGAGTCACAGGGGTGGGTTTCATCACTTGGGCTCAGGAATAAAGAGCTTCACAATGATCACAAAGATCTGCAACACGATCTTTTCACTCTGGCTGTCAGAGGTACACAGGAGGCTTGACCACACAAGCAAACACTAGATCTCTACTGCATGTTTCAGCATGCAACTAGACAGCTACATGTAATGGATATTCCTATGAAGTACATGTGAAGTGAGAAAGACAATGAGGAAGACAAAAGAAGAGTGCTGTGGGATAACTGAGAACACATAAAGCGGTTGAGTTGTAATTTGTAGGGTGAGTGAGAAAGCACAAAAAAAGCACAAAAAAGAAAAGAAAATATCATTAAGTAATAAAAATGAGCGCTTGGTTTTTCACTGCCTCACACCTCAAGTATGTGCATGATAGTGCCATTGGCAGGCCGCACAAAGACCGGCCTGTTATCATTGACATCTATGACGGTGATCTGAAGACTGGTGGTTCCCCAGAGTGGCGTTCTGCCATGATCGGTCGCCACCACAGTCAGATTAAACCTCTCAAAACTCTGCAGTAACCGCAGGGAGCGAATCAGCCCAGTGTCAGGATCCAGAGAGAACACATCTGTAAAAGAGAGAGGAAGAGACATCAGCAAACTATGTAGCTGTACTCGAGCAGGTTTATCAAATTGCACATGGAAAGTAAATTGACAGTGTCTTTAATTTCCAATTAATTTCCTGATTTTGAATCAAGGTTGCAAACGGGATGGTGAGTAGCAATTCAAATTTAAGAAAGTAGATTTAAAGTGCTATATTTATGTATATCTGTGTGTGTGATTTACCCGCTCCAGGGCCCTGTAGACTGTAGGTAAGTAATGCATTCTCCCCCTCATCGAGGTCAATGGCCTTCATCGTGATCACTGATGTACCAACCGGCTCATTCTCAAACATACTAGTGGTGAAGACTCTCTCTGAGAAACGTGGGCGGAAATCATTTACATCCATCACTGTCAACTGCACCTGAGAGAGAGACAGAGATCAGAGATCTGATTCAGAGGTGTTAAGGTGGAGTAACGAAAGCTTTTTTGGTTGTTTTTCCAAGTCTTTGAGGTCAGCTCGTGCAAAACTGTTCACATGAAACTGAAACATTCTGTGCAAAAAATGCAAACATGTACAAGAGAGTCTGAGATCTGAACACTGGTTGGGAATACAGCAAACCAACAATTCAATTTAAAACACATAATGATGATGCAGACTGCCCATCTGGACTCATCAAAGCTGCTTTAATTTATAATAATTTAATAATTTATGCATTTAGCAGACGCAAAGCAACTTACAGTGCATTCAGGCTATACATTTTTTACCAGTATGTGTGTTCCCTGGGAATCGAACCCATGACCTTTTGCGCTACTAATGCAATGCTCTACCACTGAGCCACAGGAACACTATGCACACAATGCTTTGTGTTTGCATTTTACTCACATCTGGAACTTATGAATATTATGCGAAGTTTGCATTTAAAATTGCATCAGCTGATTGTATTTAAATTTTCTGCTTGTTTTGCTTCTATAACTTCCCACTTCCTCATAACAACAGAGTGTGAATAGAGGAAGTGCAAGCTGACCATTTGGACACCTCACAAACACTTCAAGTCTTGTGAAACCTCATTTGCACAGCTGATGCTCTCTTCATATCCTCAAACAGGAACTGGAAGTGAAGGAGACTCCGCCTTGACTGCGTCAAGGTCTCTTGCTCAAATGATTTTATCCATGTTTGGTTTTTCTTCCTGTGGTCAACTGGTCTTTACAGTTTGCAGAACAGGTTGTTTGAACATTGATTTCACATTGAGATAAAACGATGACACAAGTTCATCTGGTTGTGTCTGAACGAGCCGGAGCTAAACATATTTTATTTAGCAACTAAAAGGTGCAAGATATGCTGCCTGCTACTTTTGAGTTTAGAAGTCATAATTATAAAGTGATGTGCATCAAATGATTTCTTAGGTAATAAAATGGGCGAAATTTCAATTTTTTTCAGCTCATCCACACATTGTATGTACCTGGACGGAGTTTTCTCTGCGGTTGTTGGGGTTGCCTCCGGGGTTGTCCCTGGCATAGGCTGTGAGAGTGTAACGGTCCTTGGTCTCTCTGTCCAGGGCAGACAGGATGTAGACGTCACCCTGATAACACAGGACATCAACACTGAATATAAATGACATTACAAATGGCATTTCTTATTGTCTTATTCTTACTGTCTTTTGTTTTCACACCAACACACTCACCGTAGTGGGTGTGATGCCGAACTTGCCCCCTCCATCCACTAGCCCGTATTCAATGACAGAGAACAGACCGGAGTCTGCATCTGTCGCACTCACACTTACAATAATGGTGCCAAGTGCAACATCCTCAAAAATGGATTTCTGCACACACAAACATACACAAAATCTTCGGTTCAAACGTCTCTTACTTTATGCTCACCAAGGCTGCTTTTATTTGATCAAAAATACAGTAAAAATGTTAATATTGTGAAATATTATTACAATTTAAAATAACTGTTAGAATATATTTTAAAACTGAATTTATTCCTGTGATGCAAAGCTGAATTTTCAGCATCATTACTCCAGTCTTCAGTGTCACATGATCCTTTAGAAATTATTCAAATATTTGGTTATCAAGAAACATTTCTTATTTTTATCAGTGTTGTGCTGCTTAAAGTTTTTGTGGAAAATGTGAAAAGCCTAAAGCAACACTGAAAATATTTAACATAGCATTGATATAAACTGATTTTGAAAACTGTGACATCAATAAAAGCTAAGACAAAATGCATTAAGACACATTTTCTGCAATATTTTTAACTAAATAATCATATAAATACTCATTGGTTATACTTAAAATTCATACTTACCATAATTTGTTATTAAGATTTTGCATTGAATAAGCAAAAAGCAACACAGAAGCATTTTCACTAAAGTGTCAAACTTTGACACCACTATATGAGCTTCACACCTCTATTTTCCTCCATCAGAATTAACATTCTTCCTGAATTTAGCAGGAAAGAAAAGCATCAGTACCCTGACTCTCTGGTTTGTTCTGATTTACCTGATATAAAGGTTGCTGAAAGACTGGGTTGTTGTCGTTGACATCAACAATGCGCAAATAGACAGGAAGTTCGGCAAAGCGAGGAGGCGTGCCGTGATCCTGAGCACGCACCGTGAAGTTCAACCACTGCACTTGTTCATAATCCACTGTCCGATTGGCCACAATTTTACCTGTGGATAGTGATTTAGAAAGACACGCACCATGTAGATTAGAGATGGAATTAAATCACCCATTTGTCAAGCTTCAATCATTTAGGGATAAGGGTTAGACCACTCATAGAAATGTGAATATATTCATGTGTGTAACCTGTAGAAGGGTCTTCAAGTCTTATGTAGTCTCCACGGGGCAGGTGTAGGAGCTGGTAGATGATCTGTCCGTTGGGCCCTTTATCAGGATCCACAGCGGTCACCGACAGCAGTGTGGTACCAAACACAGCACCCTCCAGAATCCTCTCGGAAAAGTTTGCTACCCCGAAAGGACGAAAACGAGGAGCGTTGTCATTCACATCCAGCACGTTGATGGTTAATTTAGCTGTGGAGAGAAATACAATTTAAATGAGTTGATTTCCCCGAAAAGAGGAAAGGAAACAAAATGTTTCCCCCAGGCTGATTTAGTGCTGGTCAAGAAAAAAAAATCATGGGGAGGGAAACCTGACAAACTGGAAGTTGGTTACCAGCATGGTTTCTGGTTAACTTTGCTGGTCAAGCCAGTTAATAAGCCCAGAGCACACACTGGTCTTTTCAGTAGATGCAATAAAAGAAAAATATTGCAATGTTATTAAACTTAAAGGAATAGTTGCAGATGTAGATGAGTTTTATATAGAAATGAGTTTGTTTCTTCAGCGGAACAGATTTGGAGAAATGCAGCATTTACACCACTTGTTCACCAATGGATCCTCTGCAAGGAATAGGTGCCGTCAGAATGAGAGCTTGAACAGATGCTGAGAGCTCAAACAGATGCTCAAAACAATAATCCACAAGCGTATTTGTAATAAACCAGCTTTTCGCTTCACAAGACATTAATGGATGTACTGGAGCTGTGTGCACTACTTGTGGATTATTGTGATGATTTTATCAGATGTTTAGACTCTCATTCTGACGGCACCCATTCGCTGCAGAGAAATCATTGATGAGCAAGTGATGCAATGCTAAATTTCTCCAAATCTCCAAGCTCCAATGAAGAAACAAACTCATCTGCATCTTGGATGACCTGAGGGTGAGTAAATTAAATAGATGAACAAATGAAAACAGGAGGGACAGAAAGACAGAAAGAAGTAAGTAGACAGAAAGATCTTTCTTACCGTTGGGTACACTGACGGACATGTCAATAACGTCACTGGCATTGTCATGCACTGAAACGATGATCTCAAAAGTGGCAACCAGCTCTCGGTTCAAGGGGTTTCGTACAAACACAGCACCTGAGAATAAAGATGGACACAAATATCAACACAAAACGACAGAACATGGTTCCCGGAAGTAAAAATCACATTCATTTTATCCATAGAAAATAGATTTTTAATAAAAATGTATAGTGTTTAGTTGCTGAATTACAAATGAAGAGCTACATGTGACATCTCAGAGGGCTAAAAGTGCAACTTCTGCAGCAAAAATATCTTAATTGCTCACCTGTGTAAAAGTCAATTCCAAACGACTGCTGCAGCCCATCCACTGGATTATTCCCATCATCCTTTGCTTCCACAGAGATGATGTAATACTCCAGGCGGGGTCGTAGATCAGGGTCCTCGGCAGTGAGCGTAGCTATAACCTCTCCTGGCGGTGTTGACTCGTTAACACTGATAGTCTGCACAGGCCGTATGAAACGAGGACGAGAGTCATTGACATCGTCCAGAACAACAGTTAACGTCGCCGTTCCTGAGAGAGGGGGTGTGCCTCGGTCAGTTGCTATGACAACTAGACGGTACGAGCTACGCTCCTCTCGGTCCAGTGTAGCATTGCCCACCACAACGGCACCAGAGAGAGCGTCAACAATGAAACGGAAAAAAATTAAAAAATTAAATAAATTTGTAAATAAATAATACTTATAAAAATAAAAATAAAATACTTATAAATATTAACTATTAACTATAACATTAATTATTAGCAATATTTATTATATTGATTATTGTTATTATTACAACAACAACAACACACTCCCACTCTTTGCAATGGGGACCAACAAACCAGATTAAAGTAGCTTTTCTACCAGTTCATCTACCTCCATCAGATGATACTGTCTCTCTCACCTGTGGGGCTGTTTTCTGGCAGGCGTACAGTGAAACTGGATGGATTGAAGACAGGTGGGTTGTCATTTATGTCGAGGATGGTGATTGTGAGTGGAACGGTGCTGTTTAAACCTCCCACATCCTCCCCAAGCAGAAACAGCTCCACCCGCGGCCGTTCCTGAGAGAGGGGGTGTGCCTCGGTCAGTTGCTATGACAACTAGACGGTACGAGCTACGCTCCTCTCGGTCCAGTGTAGCATTGCCCACCACAACGGCACCAGAGAGAGCGTCAACAATGAAACGGTCCTGAGCGCCGCTGTCTAACCGATACTGCAGCCAACCGTTAGAGCCGCCATCAGCGTCACTCGCCGACAGCTGCGTTACAACCACACCTGAAAATACACACAATGATACATTTTTAGTTTTAGCAATTTTAGTATTTCAAATGAAACTTGTTTTGTTTAGTATTTCTAATTTATTTTAATGTAATATTTATATTTTATTTTATTTCAGCTTTACTTCAATGTAGAAAAACAGCTCCACCCGCGGCACAGAGAAAGCCTCCCGGTCCAGCACAGCACCAGCACGCGCCGATACCACCCCTAGAGAAACAGAGAGAGGGGGTGGGAAAGAGAACGTGTCATGAGCGGGAGTAGTGCTTGATTACGAGAAACTCTGTGGGTGTATGAAAGGTGGGAGGACTGTTATCTTGCATAACTGAAAGTACCTACATATTTAAAGGAATTAAATTTAAGATCATTTAATCATTGAAAAAAAGACCAATTTAAGACCAACTTTGAAAAAAGATTGTATTAAAGGTTAAATTTATTTGATGTTAAAATACTTTCTTAATTTAATATACAAAGTCAACTAAAGTGACATGACATGTGGCCAAGTATGGTTACCCATACTAGGACCCTACCTCCAATCCCTGCCGGTACGAGACTCGAACCCGCAACCTTTGGGTAACGAGTCCGACTCTCTAACCATTAGGCCACGACTTCCCCACAATAAGTAAACTAAATAGTACAAACTATATTATTGAGCATCCTGACCAACCTGACACAGCAAAACTGACTTTACAAATGGCTTGAGTTTATATGTTTTTCAACCAATGGCAGACGGGGAATGTCTGGAAAATCTGTTATTATTTTTCCACTTCCGTTTGGTGACACAAAACAAAATAAACAAAACAAAACAAATAAACAAACAAAAAAAAACAAAACAAAACAAAACAAAACAAAACAAAGCAAAGCAAAACGAATCAAAACAAAACAAACAAAACAAAAATAATGGACTGTACTAGCAGAAAAAAACTCTACTACTACATCAATGTGAGCAGTCGAACTGAATATATTACCCTCTTGATATTATCTCTTGAAGACATCAACATAACGTTTTTAAGAACACCTTGAGGCCTTTCATTTTGGAAAACATGAAAACAAAACAGACATAATCTATAGCATCTGTGCTTAACTTCAGACCTGTGCGGGAGTCTATGGAGAAGAGGTCCACTCTGTTTCCCAGGAGACGATACCTCACCACCGCATTCTCCCCAATGTCTTTGTCCTCTGCTAGAACTGGGCCGTTTAGAATCAACACAGTGGTGCCTGATGGACAGACAGACAGACAGAGGTTCAGAGATTTGGCTTCAGAGGTTCAGCTTTGATCCGATGTTAAATGAGTCATGACCATCACTGTTCATCTTGTATTTATTTCCTCTCAGAGTATGTTATATTAGTCACAACTTCGGCTGCCCATAACTTAGTTTTTCATGCTTATTTTCATGATTAATGATTAATATCAGACTTGTGATGTCTCCTGAAATCCTAAACCGTTTACCACCATTTACACCAGAGGAGAAAGTTTCTCTTGAGGTTTTTTCTCCACTGCGGTCACCTGGAGGAGTATGGGTTCCTTGCTACTGTTGCCTTTGTCTTGCTCAGTTGGAGTTTAAAAGACAATTAATGTTAAAAAAATATTATCTGTTTGACTGCACTGACACTATCGGATGAGAACAAAACTTGAATTACACTATAATGACATTATTGTTTTCTGCAGAGATGCATATGAAGTTGTTTCATAATTGATGACTTTTGTAAAACTGACAGTTATCGAACTGAATTGGATCAACACTGAACTAAACTGAGCTGAATAATGACACTAATGTTTTCTGTAGAGCAGCTTTATTGCTCAATCGAATTAGTTTCATAACTGACGAACTGCAACATTGACACTTTTACTGAAATGAATCACTGAGCTGAATAATGATTATCTTCTGTAGACCTGCTTATACCTTTAAGACTTCTTAGTAAACTTGTTGGTTAATCTCTTCACATATAAAATACGTAATAGTGCTTATTTATGGGTTACAGATTTATATTATGTTCTAAATACCAAATAGGTGTTATCAATGTGTAATTGTGAGCGATGATTTGATGTTAACACAAAATGCCAGAAATGGTATTTTTGTTCTGAATTCTGAAAGTTACACAATGTATTCAAAGTGCAACAAACCTCTGCTTCAAAACCTTTGTCATTACAAAGGCAATCAACACAGCTATAAACAAGATTAAAAAGCTTTTCTTCTTAGCTCTACATGATCTTCATTTCAGAGAGTCAGGATGTGGTTAGAGAGAACACTGGGTACCTGTGGGTGAGTTTTCACTGATCTCGCCCCTGTAGCTGGACTGGGTGAAGATGGGCCTGTTGTCATTCACATCCAGCACAGTCACCACCAACAACTCTGAATCCTGAGCAGAGAGAAAAGAGTCTCATGACAGAGTTAACCTGACGATGCCTTTCATGCCATCTGTGAAACCTGAATATGTTGTGTTATTTACCCTGCGTGCGATGCGAGGGTTGTCTGGGTTGTCTTTGACGGTGATGGTGAGGCTGTATTCAGCCACTCTCTCTCTGTCCAGCGGCCTGTTCACCTGAACTACACCTGACTGGAGGAAAGAGCACATTAGTCTGTTCACTCTTACATTATTATTTCTGTCTCTTATCAAAAAAAGGGGGGGAAAAGTCTCTTATTCTTTTCTTCCCTATATCCCTCTGTCTCTTACTGTCTCATTAATGTAGAATGATCCATCACTGTTGCCGGCGGTAATGCTGTATGTGAGGAGAGCATTGCGGTCGCTGTCAGAGTCTTGTGCCCGCACTTGAGTGATGGAGGTGTGGACCGGTGCTCCCTCGCTCACGCTGGTGTTATAGGGTAAGTTGAGCAGGATGGGGTCGTTATCATTAATGTCCAACACCTGAATGCTCACTACCACCTGACACAGAAAAACAAAACCACAATATGAATTATGGGAAATATAAGTAATTCAGTACATACTAATTCACACATATAAACCATACTAAATAGTTTAAAATATCACAATTAACGTGGCTTGAAACATATTCCATTTCCTATTATTAAGTGTGTATTTGTGCATGCTTTATAGATTTAAAGCATTTTCTTTAAATGTTTTCAATGGAAAAATGACAGATTTGGGGAACAATGTAATTGTGTTTTTTCTGATACAAATTTCAATTGCATTAATTTTTTTAAAGCTCTGGGTTTGCTGTGTTTGTTTGTAGGGCTGCACAATTTAGCCAAAATGTTTTGTAATTATATATCAATATGACTAGATAAAATAATAAAAATAACAATTATTATTATTATAAAATAAAACTATTAAAACGAAATATCGTTGTGGTAAAATTTCACTGTAAAATAAAAATTGAGGATTTAAGTAAACTAATATAATTATAATTTTATTTTACAACTGTAAAATTACAATACTAATATTTATGACTGATTTAACTGCTTAATTTATATATTATAGATTTTAATAACTGCGGCGAAGAATGGACCAAAAAAAAGGCTAATAGAATTGGGGGAAAATTTGTGATTTTCTGATAACATTTTTTACATTTTTATTTAAAAAAATAATAATTTTAATCACCAGGTTTGCTGTGCTTTTTTGTATTAAAAAATAAATACTACTATTGCAAAGTAAAATAAAAGATTGAGTTTAAGACTGTTTTAATTTCTTAATTTTCAAATGTTAAAACCATCTAACTTTTATTTTGGTGAACTACAGGGAGGCCTTAAAGCTTCTCCTTTGTTGACAACAGATGGATTATAAGCACGATTACAAGGAAGATAGTCGGAATATATTGCATTCCCAAATGCAACCCAAACTCAGAGCAGATGCAGAGATGAGTCTGCAGAGCAGCATTTACTGTGAACTGAGCTTCTCTAAGAACAAGTTTTTTTTTTTTTTGCACAAGTAGCTCTTGTGCAAAAGAACCCAATGCAGTCTCGTTTTGAAAAACACAGCTCATATATCTAATTAAATTTCAGACTTTTCAGCTTCAATTTCAATTTTCAGTTTTATTTAGATCAATTGTGAAGCTCTAATGACAAGAGATGCTGTTTTTAAAAGTATGAAAATTAAACTAAAATAATAATAATGAATTTTAGTAATAACAAATATCAATGTAATTAATTTAGCTTGATGCTTAACTACAAATGCAAACTGTACACAACAAAGAGGTTTGTGGTGTCACAGTGCAATTTAGTATGTCCCAATACTGGCCTATTGTCTTCCCACATACTCAAAAGTATGTACTTTCCCATCAGTTCATAATTTTTGGCATAGTAGAAGATTAAGAACTGAATGTGTGTGGGGGTGTTTACCGTAGCGCTGAGCGCTGGCGTTCCCAGATCTTTGGCAGTAATGGTGATGTTGTAATAGGCGATAGTTTCTCTGTCCAGCTCCACATCTCTCCTCACTCTTAACTCTCCCTCAACCGATGAAATTACAAACTCATCTGGGAAAGAGAGAGACAGAAAGAAACAGAGACAGAGAGAAAGGAACAACTCAATTTTAAAGGCAGACAGGAAATTGCAACACAAATAATTTTTCTGATTGGATCTGAATAAACTGTCTACCACACACACACACTTTTCAGGTCCCCTGCGGTGATGCTGTACTCCACTTTTCCGTTGGATCCCGAGTCGGCATCCGCTGCTTTAACGGTCCACACACGTGGACCCGGCTGACCCTCTGTGATTTCAAACGGACCTTCGAATGGTCTCGGGAAGATGGGTGCATTATCGTTCACATCTACCACATTCACCAGGACCTGCGGTAAGGGGAGTGTGTGAGTGTGATATAAAGGAATCTTGAGGATTGCATATGTGTGTGTAGCAGATATGAACGCACTGTGGTGCTGGAGGTCAGTCTGAACTGAGGTATAGGACACTGATCTGTAGCTGTGACCGTCAGCACATAATGACCATTACTGATCTCATAATCCAGCTCCTTAATGACCACAATCTGACCCTGTGAACACACACAACAAACCCACAATGAACACGCACAGCAGTGGAGTATATGAATCATTCTCAGAAAGTCTTTTGTAAACTATCTCGTCTCTTTTGAAAGATTTTTAATATACTTTTATTCTGCAAGGATGCATTAAATTGATCAAAAGAGACATTTATAATGTTACAAAAGACTTCTATTTCAAATAAATGCTGTTCATTTAAACTTTCTTTTCATCAAAGAATCCTGAAAAAATATATCACAGTCTCCACAAAAATGTTAAGCAGTTTTCAACATTGATAATAATAAGAAATGTTTCTTGAGCAGCAAATCAGAATGATTTCTGAAGGATCATGCGACACTGAAGACTGATGCTGAAAATTCAGCATTGCATAACAGCAATAAATTACATTTTAAAAAATATATTCAAATAGGAAAATTGTTATTTTAAATTGAAATAATATTTCACAATATTACTGTTTTTACTGTATTTTTAATCAAATTAATGCAGAGACTGAAGAGACTTATGCTCACCAGAACATTTAAAAAATCTTGCCGACTGAGAGAAACATCATACTATTTTTCACCACAAAAGTTTTTCATTCAGTATTTGTCACCATTTCATTGTTTACACTTATATTGGACTTTTCAGGCTCAGTTATAGGAAAACTATATATAATCTAATGTGTTTACTTGGGTCATTATGTAAATGAGTTATCAATGTAATCTATGCAAACTCTAAGTATTTGAATTCAAAAATGACTGTGTTGGGTTAAAATAACAATGCAGTCAATTGTGTACAAACACAATCCTGGTTTACAGTCTGTCACTCTCTGACCCCCTCACCGTTATGCTATTGATCTGGAACGTCTGGGCCAGGTTGCCCTTGGAGATGGCATAACGGATGGTTCCGTTGAGTTCTTCATCAGGATCGATGGCAGTAACCGTTGCGATAATGGCTCCTACAGTGTTTGGCCCCTCTCTGAGCTCCGTCACATACTCTTCCTCTGGAAACTCAGGCGCATTGTCATTTTCATCAATTATACGGACCCAAACGATGGTGGACGTCTGTGGAAATGGATGACAAACAGCAAAACATGAAACACTTGTAATCATTTTTCAGTAATAACTATATATATATATATATATATATATATATATATATATATATAAAAAA